TGCATCTGCACCTCAATATGCATGATGCCGAATTATTTGCCCTGTGGATCTGCTCCTGTCAGCAGGGCTCGCATGGGTGGCCTAGACAGAAAGGTAGCAAGGCTGCTTGGGACTCGTTCCTGCTGGGCAGCCCTTCCTTCTCCCCCATTCCACTCAGGCAACTTTCTGCTTCCAGAGTGGACCCCACATTCCCTCTGTTTGCAGGGCATCTACTCTCCCGTTGAAGCTGACATTTCTCATGTTGATCAGGTGACCACCTCTTGTTGCTCCATTGGGCTTCTTTTACAAAAGGCTATATTAACTGAGTGACTTCAATAACAGAAGTTTGCATTTCTCACAGTGCTGGAGTTTTACATGCTGGAAGTCAAGGTGTTGGCAGCATTGGTATCTTGGGAAGGTTGTGAAGGGAGGATCTGTCCCAGGCCTCTCTCCTGGGCCTGGAATAGCTGTATCCTTGCTCTGTCTGCACAGTGTCTTCTCTGTGCTTATGTCTGTCCCAGTTTCCTCATCTCACAAGAACATCAGCATATTAGATTAGGGCTCACCATTAACCTCAGTTTTACACGATTTCCTTTGTAAAGACCCTATCTCTAAATAAGGTTACAGTCTGAGATGGGGGGTTAGGTTTTCAACATAAGAATGGGAGGTACAAGTCGACCTACAACGCCAGCCCAATTGTTAATGCATGTGCAGAGAGCTGGTGAAAAGACAGAATTAGGTTCTCATGCTGTCAGACTGCCACCGCTGACCTGGCTGAGCTTGGACAGGCCACTGCAGCTTTCCCAGCCTCTCCTCCTACATTTTAAAATGAGCAGAAATCAGACTTGCTTCTCAGAGCTGTGATGAGAAATGAACGGGGTAGCATTTGTAAAAAGTGCAACATCTGAGACACCAAAAATGCAATAATTGCTTATATTCTTTTTTGGTTCACAGGAGGATATTCACAGACAAGGACCTATTCCAGTCATTAAAAAAGAAACCAGAACAAAACACAGACACACATCTGTCCTTGGCAACTGCTGTGCAAAGAAAACCACAATAGTGAATACTAACAAAAACATAAGGTAGAATAAAGGACGTGAAGTGATTGGTTCTCGGATGGGGCTAATCATACATCCACAGAGAACACTCTGGCATCACATCTGACAGGGTTTCTATTCCGATTAGGCAATTGATGGCTTGGGTAGTTTCACTTTAAGTTAAAATTAATAACAACAAAAGGAACACATGTACTTTGTAATAATAAAGTATTGTAAAAGTCATATTTTTGCTGATGTTTGCATACCTATGTTTATTGAAAAATTTGGGAATATCATTCCATACATTTTTCAGTACAAATATGTTGTTTTTAAAATACAGAGTATCAGCCTGTCGTAAGTATTATTTCATAACATCTTCACAGTGCCAGTTTTCCCTTGCAATCTGTTCACAAAGCTCTGCTCACAATCGCATAAAGAATTACAAAAGGATTTGTAAATACATCTGGAGAGACTTATTCTGTCTTGCCTGAAGTGTATCAGTTACCAAACTGATTTTAAAAAACTCCTTTAGTAGGACATTCCGAAATAGTCGGGGGAAAATCTCTCCATAATTAGAATTCAGGTTAAGGCGTAAATGAGTGATGAGGAGTTTGGAGAGGATTTTGATAGAAGGGAAAATTTCGAGGAAGCGGTGGAAGTGGAGACCACCACGAGAAAAGAGGAGCCCTCCTCTATAACTTAGCATAAAGGGCTCTCCCCCCTGAAAGAGCGCCAAGAAATCAGCATAAGGAACCATTTCACAAGGATCTGTTTGCGCTTTGGTCTGTGCAGAGCCTCATGGCACGGGGCAGGGAAGGCTCCACTGACTTCATTGTCCAAACCGCAAAGGAGGAGCTTTCTAAATCTGTATAGTGAGGATGCACTAGAAAGTGGATATGGCCTCTCTTAGATTCTATTTTTAAAAACCAGCTTTCCAAGATTTCACAATGAGAACATGGACAATGCAGTGCAAAGGGAGCTACAAAGGCCAGGGGTTAAAAGTGCAGGAGTCGGGGCCTCACCAAAGTGCATTGAGCATTCTCTCCTGTCTTCATTATAATCCTCTCACTGGGCTCACCCTTCTGGGTTCTGTCAAATTACTATTGAGATCAACTGAGTAATTATGTTTGCAAAAGGAGTGGAAAAGCTCCACGTCATCTCATCCACTTCTGCTTTGATGGATGAGGCTGAAGTTCCAAAGAGAGTGTGAGGCAGGAAAACCTGGCTCTTTCAAACTGATTATGGCATATCTGATTTATTCCCCTCCTTAATGCTGTTTATTTTGTTTTTATTCAAAATGTAAAATTGCTCCCTGAGTGGGGAAATTAATGGCTTTCTCCTCCTGTAGCCACAGATCATTTGTGGGCCAGGTTATAAATAGGAGGTTAGAATCCATGACTCATGGTCTCTTACCCTGTTCATGCAGGATGTCCCCTGAGATGAACTGCGATAACTGTGCTTACGTTACCTTTTTAAGTTAGAGACATTAATGTCTAATTATCTGCTGGCTGCTATGTTGGAGGTTTTTGTTTTCAGGAAAATGTAATGGTTTTCTCTTGTGCTTTATTCCTGGAAGGTTGTGTTTCGATAAACTAGAATTGTAAACAGCACTGGATAATGGCTGCATTGGTCCCATTTTGGATGGATTGTTTGATTCATTCATTTAGCAGCTTCACACTTATTGTCGGCTTACTCTGTGTAAGGATATGAAGGTTGCATTTTTGGGGCTGCAGCGGGGCTCTGATTCTGAGGACAGGCAGTGTTCAGAGGCAGGAATTTCTTCCCGGATCAGTTTGTTGTATGAGTGGAGTTTGCTCATTTTTAAAAATTCTTTATTCACTCACTGATCTATGCAACATCTCCATTGCAGTTGAAGATCCTGCTGAGATTTTACACAAGTAGGGTGCATTTAGCATTCATTCTTTTGCCGACAAAAACATCAACCAAACAATCCCTTGCTAGATAGTCCCCTCCAAATAGACCAGGCAGTATAGATGGGAACAGGAAGCAATTATGGAGGATGTCGTGTGACATGCTTAATGAGCTTTAGCTTAATTTAGTATCTGGGTTTTCTTTTTATCTCTGCTTTCCGCTACTTCCAAGCTGTTCATCTTGGGACAAGTTACTTACTCTCTCTGTGCATTGCATGGTATATTCATTAGTGCCTGGTCAAAAAAATTAGAATGCATGGCATTTATTTCCAGCAGAGAAGGACTTAATGCAAGCAATTAGTTACGCTCTTATGGAAGAGGCCGAGATGTAAAAGGGGGAAGGCAACCACTCATAGGCTAGGGAGCTGTAACCAGCCTCTGGCAGAGGCCTCGCCTGCAGGAGCCACCGATCTCGAGCTGCTGTGGATGTTCCTGCTATTAGCAAGTCCTTGCAGCAGTACAGGCTGTACAGAAGTTGCAATTCTGCTGCTATTGCTCACACCAGAGGAGACACCAGTGGGAGCAAGGAATACAAGAACACGCAGAAGCAAATCTCTCTGCTCCAGCTTCCCAGTCTCCCAGTCTATGCCCAGCGCCTCCCACTGGCTGCTGACCCAGGAGTCTGGGAAATGCAGTTTGGAGGTTCCCACTCCCCCCACTCCTAAACCCTATACACACATCTTGCAGTGTAAAGGAATAGGAGGAATAGGAATGAAGGGGAGAGTTAATAGCAAAATAAGCAGCATAAATCAGGACAGTAATAAACCTACCTTAGTCACTTGGGGTGAGCTAATGAGTTAAGCATGTAAATGCATTTAGGAAGAAGCCTGGTACCAAGTAAGCCATTTCTGCTAGCTTTCACTATTGTTTAATGACTCCAGGGAGTCAGAGAAGGGGGTGAAAACAGAATAGTAACAGAATCATATTTACCATTTAAAAGGCTGAATGGGGCCATGGAAGAGTAATAGCCTTGAATAGGTCATATGAGAGGCAGGGACTTTCTAGATGGTTGGAATTTCTGTGAAAGAGGGCTGCAGACGAGGAAACTGATTACAGTTATTTGGGCAAGAGAACCATCTAGACTTAAGGAATGGTAAACTCAGAGAAGGGCAATTCCAAGATGCTTCTGAACTTTGGCTAGGGGTGTTTGGAAGGATAGTGGTTGCTCTCATTATTCATCATTATCCAGGCAAGGTGGGAATGTGTCTTATTGGCCATTGACTCCCCACTACTGGGATAGTGCTTGATACGCTCTGTGAGGTTGATTAATAGTTATTTGATGAATCAAGAATAAATAGTCTAATTGTCTCCTTTTGTTAAGGAAGAAATTGAAGTCTGGAGTCCACTAGCCATTTTGCCAGGGTTCAGGCCACATAGACTCCACACAGGCATCACAATGCCGCAAACACACAAAGTCATTGGTACCCATTTCGATTATAATCCCAAAGTACAAGTCAAATTCTTATTATTTTTAAAACAAAGAAATTGGGACAAGGAGTTACATAGGAAGATGACATCCATACAAATCACCATGATGGTTGCTAACATTTGCACAGGACATTGTTCAGAAGATAAAAAGGGTACACAAGGCCTTCAGCAACCAGGCGGTCAACCAAATGCTGCTACAGGGATATACTTGGCTCCCTGCCCAGGAGACAGCCGCTTGAGGCATCGCCCCATGTCAGCAAAGAGTACCTCGTTGCCCCATGTCAGCAGGAAGTAGCTCTAAAGACAGATTATCATCCCTCTACCCCTCTTGGACTTTTGGGACTAATGTAATCCCATACAACTGCTTTATAAAAACAAAAGGGGGGAATGTTAGGAAAATGGCGGTTTATCTATGGCGCGATCTACCCCCTGACACCATCCTATGCTCTAGCCCCGCTGCCATTGCTGAAGCCAGGTAGCCACATGGTCCAACCACCAGTGTCAAGCTCCACCCCCATCCCAATGGGATTTGCTGCTCCTGCTTCCCTGCCTGCCCTCCAGCAAAGTTTTAAAAGGACCTGTTCCTGAACACGTGGCTCTCTCCTCTCTTCTCTCTGCTCTCTCCTGCTCGCTCTCTCTTCTTTCATCTCTCTCTTCTCTCCTCGCTAGCTCCTCTCCTCTCTGTCTCTCTTTCTCTCTTACACTCTCCTCTCTTTTTCCTTCTTTGCTCCTTCCCTCCGGTCTGCTGAATTGTCCCCAATAAACCCTTTCCCTTAAAAAAAAAAAAAAAGAAAAACAGGGCACGGTGGTTCCATTAATGAAACATCTTTCTGGCCAGTCTGTGCTAGGCGCTGGGATGTGCCTTCAGATGAGACCCGTCACTTCCCTTGAGGACCTTGCTGTCAGGGACAGAATCTTGCACACGTTTTGTTGTCGGATTTCTTCTGGAATTCCAAAGGCATAAGGTCAGAACAAGAGGGTAAACCCTTCCCTCAGTGCCACACCCATCTCATTGTGAGTGCCATGGCATCAGAGACTTCTTTGCAAACTGAAAAGATGGGAGTCAGGGTGTGCAAGATGCCAACGGGGGCACCCAGACCCTTTTACCAGACTTCTCAACACGAAGCCTGTGGATTGTTGAAACCCCAGCTCCCAGAAGAACTGCATTCAGTTTCCTGAATGTGCTTTACTTTCTCTTGACTGTAAGCACTTGCACAACTGGTTCTTACTTGACCGGTCTCTCCATTGCTTTGTTTTGTTGCCTCTTAATCATCTTTGCAAATGGCGCAGTCATTTTCTCTTTCAGGAACACTTTCCATACCTTTCATGTGCCCATAGTTTCTGTGGATCCTCATGAGTACTTCTCCTTATACTGTAAATGTGTTTATTTGTCTCTTCTGTTTTTCATAGTTGACTCTGCACTTCCAAGAAGAGGAAGAGACTGGGTTGGATTCTTGGTATCCTTAGATTCCGGTCTAGAAGGTAAGTGTTCACTGAATTGAGTAGGTGTAGTGTTGGCTGATTAACTACAAGCTGTATCCTTTCACATGAGTTTTGCCCTATATTCCACAGAAGAGAGACAAACTTTTACACCCAGACAGTGGTGCCAGTTTAATAACAATGGGCAATGTGTCCAAGGGCACATGGTTAGAGTGAAAATGGAAAGGGGAGCCTTCTTGTATCTTTGCATCCTTGGGTGATGTTCTTAGGGATGTTCTTAGGGACAGGGGTGGTAAATACCCACCAGTGCTAGGTGGCTTCTCCCCACCCTGAGTAACGTGGCCCTAGTGAGTGATGGTGCAGCTTTCCCCCCCCAGTCACTGCAGAGGACACACTTCTCTACCCTTCCATCTCAGAAACAGAGGTCTGTCTCCAACACATTCAGTCATTTGTTTTTCAGGATTTGGAGCAGAATTAATTAGTTTGGAAAAGCACTGGAACAATGCTAAGTATTATTAATGACACAATTATCAGTTCCTTCCTGGAGGGGATGGGTGGTTCCGGGTTCCCTTGGCAGTTTTGAAAGATGAGTCTCGTTCTTCCTATTTCACTCTAACAAGCTCTGGTTAGTGCTCTGGGACTCTCTGCCTCTGGCTGCTCCCAGGGAGGGTTGTTGCCAGAGACTCACTGGCACCATCATGGGGCTGGTTTTCAGGTGCCTGCTCTCACAGTGGCACAGGAAGTGGATGGACCCAGACAGATCTTTACCAACAGCAAGAACACCTTAAAGATGCTGAGGGCAATGGAAGTAATGTGAATTCAGCACATGCTCTCTCCCAGGGAATGTGGTTGGTGCTTTATACACTTAATCTCATTTAATGTAATCCTCATGACAGTTCCATAAGGAAGACATTGTTTTCCTCATTGCATGGATTAAAGCAATGGAGCCTTGCAAGGATAAGTGTGTTGTCCAAGAACAGTTCAGATAATTCTCAGGGATAGCATTTAAACCTGGCTTGGTTGGACTTTGAAATCACTAGTGCTTAACTAACAGGTGACCCTAGACCGTAGCACAGATAGGCAGGCATTCAGTGGACTTGATGGCAGACACAGGGTTTATTGCAAGTCTTAGACCACAGTGGTTTGTACCCATCCCCACCCCCCAACCCCAATCTTCCCTGGTTCTGTTACTTGATCTGCCATGGATTTAACTGCCCACATCTGTCCTTTTCAGTTTCTTCCTTTTGCTTTTCAAGTCTCCGCTGGGATCCTCTCCTGGTCTATATTCCTTTAGCAAATGAAAGATCTAAATTCCTTCCAGTCTGAGTTAATGATTGTGTCCTATCTTGGAGTTGTCAATGTGTTCTGGCATTAAATATCAGCTCTGTTACTTGACACATTATGCACCTTGGGAAATACATTTAACCATTCCATGACTCGTTTGTTCATCTCTAAACTGGGAATAATGATACTAACTCAGATGGATGCTGTCCCCTAGAACCCTGCTCTCTCCTGCACCTCTCTTCCTGTGTCAGGCATCAGCTCCTGAAAGGAGCCTTATATGAACCACTGAATTGAGTTAAGGGCTCCTCTCCTCTGTCTGTACTCTGATAATACCCTGTGTACTAGTTTGCATTATTACATTCACGGCGTTATATTATAAGAACTTACTGCACTTGAGCAGACTGTATGCTTTTTAAGAACAGGGAACATGTGTTTATCTTTTGACTCACCAGTAAGCAACACGGGTCCTGGCATATGGCGAATCTTCAATTAAAGCTAGTTAGGAAAGAAAATGGATGAATGGGCTAATGAATGCAAGACATGATCCTTGAGTTGAGCTTTGAAAGATGAGTATGTGTTCAGCAAGAGGTGGATGCAAGAACCCTCTGAACAGAGAAAGTGAGGGCCTGAAAACATAAAGTATTTGAGGATCTTTGCCAGGAACTGAGAGCAATGGGCTGTCTGAAACACAGAGCACCTCAGGGACACAGAGCAACTCGGAGCCCTGGGTCCTTCTGCTTCTAGGATCAACACTTCAGAAGCCTCAGGCTCAGGCTCCACTGAGGCTTGAAGGGAACAAAATATTAGTTCAGCTCTAAAAATGTTTTGTTATTTTGGTTTGTTCCAGTTGAGTCGCTTCAGATAATACATTGGTTTGGTCACACGCTGAAGCTGTCCACTAGGGCATGTTTGTAAAAACAAAAACAAAATAAAAATACTTTTGATTCAAATCACAGTTCAGGAAAAAAGAGCATGTTTCCTCAATTCAAAGGAGCACTTACAGCCATTTTGTTATTGCTGAAATTGTCAACTGTCACTTAAACCAGTGTGTGTGTGTGTGTGTGTGTGTGCACACTTCAGGGTCAAAGGTCATATCATCTTTTCCTCCACACATTTCTGGGGCTGTAAAATATGAATTTCCTCCCCTTGGAAGTATCAGAAAGGAATGCCTGCTTTTCCCTCTCTCTCACTTCTTCTAAGGAGGGAAGAATACTTTGAATGGTAGGAGGAAGAATTTGATTTGAGTTCAATTTCTCAATTAGGGGTCATTAAATAAGATTGAGATCTGCATAAAATAAAAAAGTAGGAAAACATAGAAAATATCACTCTGAAATCTTTTTTTTTTTATATTTGTGCATGTGAGTGTGTATTGGATCACAGATATAAAACAGAACTCTTTTTGTAGGTCTTGATCAAAACTTCGAAAGTTTCTGTATTAGCTGAGTCCCTTGACTGGAACTGAGCCTTCCTGGGCTCTTCATTCTCTTCCTGAGTACTCTGTATCTCCTCACTTTTTTAGGCCAGTTGGCTGCTTATTTAGTGTGAAGTTTCCTTTGGTTTATCTCCAGCAAGTTAAGGACACCTGAGTCCAGGGCTGGAGGCAGAGCTGGAGGTTCACGGCCTCCCTGGTTCTTGTTAGGGTCTTTGGTTTAGAGCCAGGCTACAGTCTCCATGCTGGGGACTGAAGAGTGAGTCCTGCTTGGCAGGGTGGCTGCAAATAATTTGAATGGTTCAAGTGTTCACAAATGTGCCTGGCCAGTCACAGGGGCTAAAAGTGGCCCCCATTTTGTGGGTCAGGCCATGCATCCAGGTGACTGTTCTCACCCATGAAGGGCGTGTTTGTCTGTTGTAGCCAAGGTTCCAGAGAGATTGTCAGTGACTCTGTTGCTTTGCGCATTCTACTAACGGTAGCGAGAAGGATGGACCTAGGGGAAGGTGTGCAAGGCCACCTTTAGGCAGTAGATCCCAGCAGGAGTTCCTCAATCTGTCCTCACCTATGATATAGTTGATATTTTATTTTCTGTCTGACATTGGTACCACTTCTCAGCAAACACCATGATTATCACCTCTGAGAAACCACAGCATCTGTGGGCACACTCAATGATGGCTTTGTTCCCCCCTGCCCAGCGCCCTTCCAGAACTCTGCTATCAGATGCATGTGTTTCCTACACATGATAGTGTTCTGCAGCCAGAAATGTAAGACATTCCATATGGGCTCGGTTCAGCCCCATATATTGCCATGGGTTTTTCTGGTTTGGACTCTTCTTTTCTCCTACTCTTCTCAGCTGGAGCTGCAACTTGAAGCTGGAGCCTTTATGTTTGTGAACGACATCATTCTTTCCTATTCCTTTATTTTAAATCTGTTCTTCCTTTCTCCCTCTTTTTTATTATCTTTCCTTTCTCCAGCATTTATTATGAATCAACTTTGGTTAATCCTTAAGGATGACATCATTCCTTATAACACACATAGAGAAACAACAAAAATCAGAATGCAAAGGAAAGCATTTATGTGAACCTGAATCCAGTTTATGTGTCTTTCCATTTTACAAAAGGAACTTGTTATGGAAAGAGATGAAATTTAGAATCAGATACACATGTATTAAAATATATTTTCAATCATTACACACCAGTTGACCTTGTCAAGCTTCAATTATTTGATGTGTACTTTGGGGATAGTTGGAAGGACTCACTGGAGATCAATTTATTTTTCCTCTTGCAAATGAAACTGTCGAAAAAATCCCTAGTATTTTCCACATAGGTAGAGATAAAAGGTTACATTAGGGTTGATCTTTAGGGCCTTTGTTAGACACACAGGAACGGTCAGATGGTCCCACCCAGAGGAAAAGGTGAATCCAAAACTATATTTTGACTTAAATCACTGCATGTGCACCACTGCCACTATTCCTTGTGATATGCACATGTCTGACAAGATGGCAACCCAGGTTGTGCAGGTAGGATTCTGAGTAAGAAAGGACTGAAGCCTCTGCCTGGTGGGCAAAGGGACCGTGACTCATGCTGAGGTGGGCAAAGGCAATGGGACAATTGACATACAGTTTTTGTGAGGGTTTCCAAGGGATGCTAAAAAAATCATCACAAACTTGGTGGCTTAAAAGATGGAAATTTGTTTTTTACAGTTCTAGAGCCAAGAAGTACGAGATAAAACCATTGGCATGGTCATGCTTTCCTTCAGCACTCTACAGGAGAATCCTTCCCTGTGTCTTCCAAGGTTCTGGCGAATGCTGGAGATTCTAGGTGTTCCTTGACTTGTAGATCCATCACTTCAGTCTGACCTGTGTTGTCACCCAGTGCTCTCCCCGTGTCTCCTGTCTGTATAAGTGCATAAATATTCCTTTAACGTATACACCAGTTTCTAGAATACAGTCCACTAGGATCCCCTCTCACCTTATTTTCACTCAATTGCATGAGCAATATAACCTTATTTCTCAACACAGTTAAATTCAATACACTGGGGCTTAGAACTTGAGCATCTCATTGTGGGGGAGACAATTCAACCCGGAGGGTCTTCAAGAGGAAAGGTGGAGCCTGCGTGAGTAGGTTAGCTCTGACACTGAGTCAGAAGATACTGCACTTTGCTTGTGAGTTTCTGGATTGAAGCAGACTTGACCTGGTTCCTCTTGAGTCTGTCTTGTACCTGGGGTCATCCTGTGTGTGGTGTGCTAAACAATCAGGCAGCAAAGCAGTCATGACTGAAGGTTGTCTGTTGGAGTGTGGGTCTTTATCACAGAGGATAATCCTGG